CAGCAACAACCCCCCCTCCACCACAGGCCTCACCCAAAAGCTTCACTCTCTCTCTCTTTCTCTTTCTCCCCCTCCCCCTCCTTCAACTTGCATGGCATGTTATTATATGGTCACTTTTAAGCACGAGGGGGCTATCCCGAAAAATGCTGCTTTGAGAAAATCGAAGGTAAAGTTTTTCCCCCTTGTTCAGTGTCTTTAAAGGGACAAGAAGAGTTTTCTCTATTTATTATAAGCAAACACATATACACTCCAGTGAAACCAAACTTCTCCTATAGGTAGGGCAATGCCCAATTTTGGTGTAGGTCAAGATTTCTGGAAACCCCCAAAATCTGGGTTAGCCCGCTTGTCTTTAAAAGCAACAATATATGCACTAAAAAAAGCTTTACGTCTAAATTCCACTTTGTTTCCTCCACTCGCAGTCGACTTTGTGGTACCCCAGCGGGAAGAGTCTATCCTAGAGGCCTACGAGAAATGGCGAGGCTGGGGCGACGCCAAAGTGTGCTGCGACTACGGCCTGCACGTGGGCATCACCTCCTGGACCAGTGAGATTTCTAAGGAGATGGAGCAACTCACCCAGGAGAAAGGTAAAACGTGGGACCTTATAATGGGTGCCCGTCGGTCAAATGCATGATCAAATCAAATCAGATCAGATCAGATCAGTTCAGATCAGTTGGGTTGGGTTGGGATTTATGATCAGACCAGATTATTAGATTGGGTTGCGTTGGGATGTATGATCAGATAAGATCAGATCAGATTATTCGATTGGGTTGGGTTGGGTAGGTCGCGACATTAGAATGACAGGGTTCAAACTGCATGAAGCATAGTTTTGAGAAAATGGGATTCAAAGATTAACACTCTTTAAGCTGTTATGTTTTACGCACCTTATTTTTGTTGAGCATCAAACTGAAAGAAATACAGGTCTGATTGTCTCCAGCTTTCGACACAGCGTGCTATGGCATCTGTGTCAGGAATGTGTAGTGTGTAATTCAGTTCTCGCATAAAGTGGGGTTGAATCCATGATGTCAGTCTGAGGGCATGTAATGACGCTTGCCAGTGCATACTGTATCAAATTATAAACTCTTCTTCTCTTTTTCAAATTTGATGAGGAAGTCCATTAGAGTAGAGCCTTTCACATTCCACTGATTCTACGTGCAAACAAGAGATATGACGCTCTAGCCTTCTGATTGCATTGGTTTGTTTTCATCAAACCTATCAAATTGTGACCAAGACAATCTAGCAGATTTGATTTTGGAGGATCTTATTAAATAGTACCAAAATGGTAGCTTTTGCTCTCCTTTGCGAAGAAATATATGGCCTCACTCAAATGTATATTATATGGAGATTTGGGGAAATTTCTGCTGTGTATTAAATATTGCTGTAATGAACTCACCCAGGTGACAGGCAATGTAAGTGGTTGGCTGGTGCTCTGTGTGGTTTGCTTCTTCTTTCTTATCAATCGTCTATCACCCTTTTTCTTTCCTCCTCTTTGTTTTTGTTTTTGTGACTCTCTCTTATAACCTCTAATCTTTTACTCTTATATGACTTACTTGTGTTGCAAGTACCATGAAACTCTTACTAAACCAAAACGACAAAAAAAATGTACCCCCAGGTGTGAACTCATTCCAAGTGTTCATGGCCGGCTCTGACCGTATGTTGGAGGACTCGGACATTTACAACGTGTTCAACCGGTGCCGGGAGCTGGGGGCTCTGCCCATGGTGCATGCGGAGAACGGACACCTCATTGAAATTGTAAGATGGTAGTTAACACTTTCCGTACGCCTTTGGTCCTTTTGTACCCCGGGTGTTGTGTTCTTGACATTTTAGAATATTTGTAGTGCGAAGATCTCTTTGAAACTTTCAGTATTTTTCAAAAAAATCATTTTGACAGACTGCTATGCATGCAAAGCGTATGGATTGGTTTAACGAGTAAATTTCCTCTTGGAAAGTGGGGGCACAGAGTTTCCTTCGTCGTATGGATACAATAGTAAGACACGACATATTGGTAGGGTTAAAAAGGGGGATTCCTACTGGTAGAGAATGATAGTAAATTAGGGATGCCAAAACTCTAGTTTTTGCGGCTTTTTACTGGGGTTTTTTTTTCTCATCCGCTTGATGAACAATTCAATATCATCCCAGCAAAACCAATAGGATGAATATTGACACATACTAAGCCTATCTTAAACAAAAGTATTTGTTATTGGCTCAAGAGAAAACAACAGTACAGGCCTTCCGCAGATGTGATGCTCCGCTCATTTTCAGGTGGTGTTTTTTTTCAAAAACCATTTGGCATCCCTGGTACCTGAAGAGCATGGCACAGGGGAATAACTGGAAATTGTGAGGGTGTCAATTTTAAAAGCTTGTGGGCTCATCATATCTTAATATTTCTTTAAATCTTTGACTGGTGGTTTATTTTTGTTGAATGGGAAATCAAACAACAGTAATCAACAACAGTTAAACAGAAATACATTTATGAGTCAACAAGCTTTCAAAATTGATACCCCTCAGGATTTTCCGTTTGTTACTATAAGCCCCCTTTTCCGCCCCGTGCTCTTCAAATATTTTGCACCAAATATCGTAGTTTAGGGCTGACCGTTGCTGACTGGAATATACAGGCTCCCCCAACAGATAGAGTCAGGTGCTCGATAAAATAACAATCACATGCAAGAACTGAACTCCCTTCTTCTTGTGGGCGCGGTGACGAAGGGCAGTTTTGTACGATACAAAAGGGGATGGGTTTGTTTGTTTGTTAGTTTTTTGGGGGACTAAATGACAGTTATTGTGCCAGTGTGCTTCTCTTTACTCTCAAACAAACAAATTAACAAACATACAAACGCACCTAGTAAGATGTGGCTGTTGTTGTACTGGCTGGCTGTGGGTTACAAATTTCAGCACTATGGGTGATTGGCAGGTGCTCTGGTGTGGTTTGCTCTTCTTTTCTTTGCTTGTTATGCTCTAGTAACACCTCTAATCTTCAGCACTTATACGGCCTATTTGTGTTGCAAGTGCTGTCATATCTCTCCTCCTTTTCTTTTGTATGTTACACTCAAGTAACATCTCTAATCGTAGGCATTTATGTGAACTTTTTCTTTTGCAATTGCTGTAAAACTCAACACTTTCTCTCTCTCTCTCTGTCTGCAGAAATCTGCTGAGCTGGTGGCACAAGGCATCACAGGACCAGAGGGTCATCTGCAGTGTCGCCCAGAGGAGGTAAGGAACAGGAAAAAGGAAAGCCAACAGCTTTGCACAGTTTTATGAAAATACCATCCTCAATCTTTTCACCCCCTGATTTCCGATTTTTTTGGGTAAAAGTTCATTTTATCACTCCATTCTCAAATAAGTTGAAAGCTTTACAATCTATAATTATTACTACCCCAGTAGACCTGATAGCATTCTGAAACAGCCTCAACTCCCTGGGCACCTATAAGTTACAATAGGCCTATATATTTTTATATAGCCTTCTGAAACAATCTCAACCTCCTGTGAAGCATATTATGTTAAACACTTATAAATAACAATATATATTTTTGATATAACATTCTGAAACAATCTCAACCTCCTGGAAAGCATAATATGTTGAACACCTACAAGTTACAATATATACTTTTGATATCTGAGACAATCTCAACCTCCTGGGAATCTTACATTAACACTTTTCACCCACACAGCGCGTAGAGCACCCACACAGCGCGTAGAGCGCGCACACAGCGTGTAGAGCGCGCGTAGAGCGCGTAACGCTTATCCCTACGGACCAGGGTACATGTGCGGTACATGCTATATCACACCTTCACCGATCGGCATCCCATGGGGAAAAGGGATGGCTTCTTACCGTCGCCAATCGGCATCCCCTGGGGGCATAGTGTTAAACACCTATAAGTTTCAATATA